TTTTTTTTTTTTTTTTTTTTTTGAGAAACAGAGTGAGACAAAGCATGAACGGGGGAGGAGCAGAGAGAGTAGGAGACACAGAATCTGAAGCAGGCTCCAGGCTCTGAGCAAGCACAGAGCCTGATGCGGGGCTCGAACCCACGAACTATGAGATCATGACCTGAGCCAAAGTCGGACACTCAACCGACTGAGCCACCCAGGCGCCCCTAAAATTTTTAAATCCACTAACCTAGATTATGACGATGGTTGCACAGACCTGCACATTTACTAAATATCCCTGAATTGTGCACGTGACACAAGTGAACTTTACATCAAGTCGCAATAAAGGTGGTTTTAAAATCCTATATAAGGTATTCTGTGTAAAGAAACGCAACGTCAGAAAAATATTAAACTGTTAACAGTATTGTATGTATATTATATAATTATTATGATAGCAGTTATTATAAGGAAAGAACTGAGATGAGCTGTCCCGAGGGCAGCTTTGATTTTTTATTCTATACATTTCGGTAGCGGGATGCTTTAGCGTGAACCTATGTTTATGTATTTTTATGTATTTTTCATCTGTTTTGTTCACTGCTGTTACTCCAGCACCTAGATCGGTGTCTGCATATAGCAGAGGATCAGTAAATATTTGTCAAAAGAACAAATAAATAAATTACATTGTAAACGTAAAACACAAATAGTGTGCACAATAACTTGATAGGTTTGTGTATGGCTGACTCAAACTTGCTAATTTCTAAGATCCATCTCCAAGATAGATTTATGGCGGTGATGCTTTCCAGCAATTTGAGAACTATTCTTGGAATACTCTGAATGGGCCCCGGCTTTCAAAATTCAGGCTCTGAATTTGATTTTTGGCTGCAAAATTTGGCTCTGAAAGGAGTTTCCACAGTATGTCTTTTAATCAGTCTGTTATAAGGCATGCAGAATAATTTATTCTTCTTGTCTAATACGGGAAGATGAGACTGTAACTGAGGAAAAATTGTGATTTCATTTGTATTCAGTATTACTTTTGAATTACCTGGTTAAAGTTTTTCTTAGACATTAGATAATAGTGGAAATATGGTAGTTTTAGAAATAGTGGAAAATCAGGAGTTTTCAACGTAATCTAAAATAGGTATTTGAACTTCTCTTTCCCAGATAAATTTGTTTTATGTATGTTAAGGTAAATACTTGTGGATAGGTATTAGAAATGCTGGAATGGTATTATCTGTATTAGTATTTAAACATGGCCACTGGTCATGTATGATTAGTTACAGGATCTGACATGTTTTATCTTGTGGTTTGCTAAAATGGAAGTTTTTTGCTATTTTAATGCATTTGGAAATATATAAAATAATAATATCTTGATTTTAATCTTGGCTTTCCTCTAAAACAAAAGTTCTTAAATCTTTTATAGGCCATAAACCCCTTAAACTTTTGTACCAGAAAAATGTAGATGTTTGAGGATGGTCCAGACCAGGGTTAATAACTCCTATTCTAAAATCATTAAAATGCATGCAGCTCTCCATAGATATCTTCACACCCATAGTTTCCATATATTGATTCATAAATATTTAACTTAAAAGCATGTAATTTGACCAAGGCTTCTAGCTTATGTTTGGATGGCGACTTTCATCTTTAACCTGTGGCTCTTCAAGCTAGCAAATTCCGTGATTAGAATATCGTACTCACTTCTCCAGATAGAGCTGTAGGATGATTGGCAGATGGGCTTCAGACTCACATTAACCAAACTCCAGTGGCTTTGGGCAGATTTTAATTTTGTTTAAGTGAATTCAATAGTTTTCTGAACTCTTCAGAGAAAGTCATTACATAATTATTTAAAGGGAGTATAACTAAAGGATCGGCTTCTCAAGATTCCCTTTTTGGGCTTATGATGCTAAGAAGTTCAAGACTAGCCATTCTGGTTTTGAAAGAAGTGGGAATCGGGGCGCCTGGGTGGCGCAGTCGGTTAAGCGTCCGACTTCAGCCAGGTCACGATCTCACGGTCCGTGAGTTCGAGCCCCGCGTCAGGCTCTGGGCTGATGGCTCGGAGCCTGGAGCCTGGAGCCTGTTTCCGATTCTGTGTCTCCCTCTCTCTCTGCCCCGACCCCGTTCATGCTCTGTCTCTCTCTGTCCCAAAAAATAAATAAAAACGTTGAAAAAAAAAAAAAGAAAGAAGTGGGAATCTACAATCAGTGAAGGGTTATTTCTCATACTTTGCGCTTTTATGAGAACAAGGGAAGGGTATTGTGGTTTTTAAAAGTGGTTTGGGGAGGGGCGCCTGGAGGGCTCAGTCTGTTAAGCATCTGACTTGGCTCAGGTCAAGATCTCACAGCTTGTGAGTTTGAGCCCTGCGTTGGGCTCTGTGCTGACAGCTCAGAGCCTGGAGCCTGCTTCAAATTCTGTGTCTCCCTCTCTCTCTCTCTCTCTCTCTCTGCCCCACCCACTCCTGTTTGCACTCTGTCTCTCAAAAATGAATACACGTTAAAAAAAAATTCTTTTTTAAATACATAAAAGTGGTTTGGGGAATGTTTATGATCATGGAAAGAGCGTTGGGACAGGATACAAGGTTGCCTGAAACGCAATGATACAGGGGCACCTGAGTGGCTCAGTCGGTTAAGCATCCGACTTTGGCTCAGGTCATGATCTTGCAGTTCGTGAGTTCGAGCCCCGCGTCAGGCTCTGTCCTGACAGCTCGGAGCCTGGAGCCTGCTTCGGATTCTGTGTCTCCTTCTCTCTCTGTCCCTCTCCCACCCGTGCTCTGTCTCTCTCTGTCTCTCAAAAATAAATAAACATTAAAAAAAAAAAAAAAGACAACGATACAGAGAGAAACACAGTTCAAAAAAAGGAAACTGGAGAAGTCACTGGATTGAGGGTCAAGGATGGGTGAGAGCAGCAATCCTTGAACTGACGATCCAGAGACCTGCTAGTCCAGAGCCATCCAACCTACAGGTGAGAGATTCAGCGGGCCCATCACAGACCTAACCACAGCTGTCACTCAGTTAAGTTAGTGGGGCAGGGAAGGGGTTGGGTGATTACTGACCCCCATCTTCAAAACAAAGAATTTGCTGGTTTCCTGCTCTAAAAAACTTTTCTAGATTCGTGGTATTTGGGGCAAGAAGTATTGGGCAATACTTCTACCTAGTTATAGGTATCCTGCTCTATAACTAGACTTGAACAGTGGGGGAACCCTATGGGGAATAGAGTGAATAATGATGATTTTCAGAGGAAAACAGACCCAGCAATCTCCCTCATACCCCCAGCAGCTATTACTCCTCTCAAGGCTCTCCCAATCCTGCTGGATCCTAACAGGAAAAGCAAAAGTATATGAGAAGACAAATTCCAAAAAGCCATTGAATTGGTCCAACCAAAGGTCCTTATTCACCTTAGGAAATATATTTTTGTGGGTTAGTGAAAACGGAGTACGTGCTGAATCTGGGGTGGGAATAAATGTTGGATAATCATTCGAGGTGTTCCGCAAGTGAAAAGAGAGAGAGAGGGAGAGAGATGGGTTCGTGCAGTGGTTTTGGATTGAGATACGTCTTCCACATTGGAGAGTCCTGGTTATATGTAAGGGGGAAGAGAAAAGAGCCCATGGAAACTGCTAAGGGATAATTTTGGAAGAAGAAGAGGAGACTGAGGACCTTACGGTCTGTCTCTAGGATTGAAGGGAAGGAGGGCCGAAAGCGAAGGGGATGGTTTTCCTGTGTGGAGGAATATTAGCACCGAACTTCTTTTTTTTTTTTTTTTTTTCCAACATTTATTTATTTTTGGGACAGAGAGAGACAGAGCATGAACGGGGGAGGGGCAGAGAGAGAGGGAGACACAGAATCGGAAACAGGCTCCAGGCTCTGAGCCATCAGCCCAGAGCCCGACGCAGGGCTCGAACTCACGGACCGCGAGATCGTGACCTGGCTGAAGTCGGACGCTCAACCGACTGCGCCACCCAGGCGCCCCAGCACCAAACTTCTAAGAGTAGAAAAGACACGTCGTGTGAGACCCTGGGAACGATGAGCATATTGGCGGTGGGGGGGAAGGAGGGTGTGCAAATGACCGTCAGCCTGAAGTTGACCGTAAAGAACAAAAGTGCCAAAACACATTCAATTGTCTTTTCCTCTTAAATGACTCAAAGTTTCAAAGAAAATTGCCTGGAAAAGCAGTGCTTCTTTTCGCCCGTTGAATATGTTGGTACTTTACTTTTGAAAATCCAAGAAACAACTGCAATGCTCCCAAAGAATCTTCTCCCCCCCCATAGCTTAGCTTTTGAGCTACCCAGAGAAAGCAAGCTGGGAGACCAGCTTTTTGGTCCATTCCCCTCCACATTTTTTGGTAAGGCTTTTATTTGAGGCTCCGTGTCTGATCTGGCAGGTATTTTGCATAAATGCATTTCCTGGATGTGTGTGTTTTGTGGCCATTGCCAACAATGTCTGCTTCTAATCACTTGCTGCAAGCACCCAGTAGCTATCAGGGATAGCACTGACGGTGCGTGGAGGAGGCCCATGTGTTCGATTGTGGGTCTTGGCAGATTGTTGAAAAGGCAGTTACTTTCCTAGGGTCTAGAGTTTGGTAAGTAACCGATAGGAGGCCCGAAGGGGGGAGTGGCTGAGGCAGGAGCCTGCATTTGCTAGCAGGAGCCATCGACATTTAATAAAGAGGCAAAACTGTTGAGGCAAAACACAATTTGGCCACTCCATTCTTCAGGTGCCCCCTGGGATCATCAAAATTTATTTTGGGGAAAAAAACAAAACAAAACCCACTCAAATGTTCGAATTCGCTGTAGGTTAATATATTATCAGTTTTGGAGGTAAAAATTGTCAATGGCACGTTAGGCTGAACTGTTGTAATAGAGCAACGGAAGAAAGGAGATGGTGGTCCACCTTCCATCGGTAGGATTATATTGTCTTAGGCGGCCCATTTTGAGAGGGACACTGACCAACGTGGGTCACGATCAGCGAGGAATAGCCAGGGCCACCGTGTTATCTGAGGAATGAGCCAAAGCCTGGATAAAGAAGGCCCTCAGGCTATCTTCAGGTATCTCACGGGTTGTCCGCCATGTTGAACAGGGAAGTGTTGTTATTCGGCATTCCTCTGGAGGCCAGAACTAGGAGCAATGGGCCGAACTGGTGAGGAAATACGTATTGGATTAAAATAAGAACATTTCTACTAATCAGAGTTGTTCAAAAGTGGAATGGGGCAAAAACAAATTTCAGAACAGCATGAGACATTTGCTTCCATTTTAGTTTGAAATTGTGCGCAAAGGTCTTTTGGGTAGTGGAGGGACAGGATCGTTGCAATAGCAAAACGATGCTGGCAGCAGGTGAGAAGATGCGTGAGAGAAGGTGGCAAGGATGGCCAGTTAACAGACTGCTAAAATAATTCGGGCAAGAGATGGTGAGACCCTAAGCTGGGGTAGTAGCCATGGGCGTTCAGAGTTGTAGATGCCCTGACTTTCCATCAACAGATGGATGGTTCAACAGCCTCTGCTGTGTATACATGCATTGGAATGTTACATAGCCTTAAAAAGGAAAGAAATTTTTTAGTTAAAAAAAATTTTTTTAATGTTTATTTTATTTTGAGAGAGAGAGAGAGACATAACGGGAGCAGGAGAGGGGCACAAAGAGAGGGAGACGCAGAATCCGAAGCAGGCTCCAGGCTCTGAGCTGTCAGCCCAGAGCCCAACGTGGGGCTCAGACTCCCGAACCGTGAGATCATCACCTGAGCCGAAGTCAGATGCTTAACCGGCTGAGCCACCCAGGCACCCCAAGGAAAGAAATTTTGATACATGCTAGGACATAGAGGAATGTTGTAAAATAGTAAAATAAAGCCAGTGTTACAAAGGACAACTATTGTGTGATTCCAGTTATAAAAGTACCATGAGGAGTCAAATTCATAGAGACAGAAAGGAGGGTGGTGGTTGCCAGGGGCTGGGGAGGGACGGGAATGGGGACTTCTTGTTTCATGAGGACAGGGTTTCAGTTTGGGGAGATCCAAAAGCTATGGAGATAGATGGTGATGATGGCTGCATAACACTGTGAGTGTCCTTAGTGTCACCGAACTGTACATTTTTAAATGGCTTAAATGGTCAATTTTATGTTATACGCAACTTTTAAAATACACTGTTCTGAGTTTTTTTTTTAAGAGAAGTAAATTCGAGAAGGACAGTAAAGGTGTGAAGGAGGAGTGAATGTGGTTGCCAGGCTGCCTAGCCTAGCTACCGGGTAGAGGATGCCATTAGTCAAGAGAGTATTAACCAAAAAAAAAAAAAGAGAGAGAGAGAGAGAGAAACAGGCTTGGAAGGAGCTCATGAACTTGGTTTTAGAAATGTGACATTTGAGTGGCCTAAAGAACATTCAGTTGGAGATTTTTAATTTTTTTTTCTCTTTGAGAGAGAGAGAGAGAGAGAGAGGGGCAGAGAGAGGGAGACAGAGAATCTGAAGCGGGCTCTGCACTGACAGCAGCGAGCCCGATGTGGGGCTCGAACTCACAAACCTCGAGATCATGACCTGAGCCGAACACGGACGCTCAACTGACTGAGCCACCCAGGAGCCCCTCAGTTGGAGATTTGTAAAATAACCTTATGGAGTTGTATACAATGTAAATTGCATCTTAAATGGTACAATTCAGACTTTGGACAAATGCATGTACCCACGTATCCATCACAAGCAAGGTACTGAACGTTTCTACCATCCCAAAAGTCTTCTGGTCCCCCTGACCCTCTTCCATTCCTGCCCCAGGCAATGACTGATCTGCTTTCTGCCACTTATAAATGAGTTGGCATTTTTTGCAATTTTATATAAATGGAATCAGTCATACAACAACGTACCTGTTTGTGTGCGTGTGTGTCTGACTTATTTCACTTAGCGTGATGATTTTGACAACCATCGTATTGTTGCCTGTACTGTACGGGTACACACAACTGATTTATGCATGCACCTGTCTGTCATTGGGCATTTGGTTTGTTTCTAGTCTTTATTAACAAATCAAGCTAAGTGAACATTCCTATAATGTCTTTGAGTGGACATCCCGTTTTCCTACCCAGCAGTAGATGTGACTTGGTCGAATGGGAGGCATACCTTGCACTTTTTAAGAAACTGTTAGTGTTTCCCAAGTGTTTGTGCTATTTTACATTCTCACCAGCAGGTGTTCCGTATCTTCATCAGCACTTGGTATTGTCAGCTTTTTATTTAAAATTCTGATAAAGGTCCGTTTATCAAGTTTTCTTGTTTACGAAAATTTGTTTTTATGTACCAAGACATGTTTGTCTCCTTCAATATTGAATAGGTTTTCTCCTCCGTGTAGCCCGCCATTTAGTTTGAGGTTTTGCATGGAGGTCTATCATTAGTTTTTCGTTAATTTCTCTGTATAGTGTGAAGTCAGGGTCAGTGTTCATCCTCCCCTGCCCCCTCAACATGGCCGTGTAGTTACCTGGCAGAGTTTGTTGAAAAGATCTTCCTCTCCCCCATTGAATTGTCTTACCACCTTTGTTGTAAATCAGTTGACCATTTATGTGTGAGTCTGTTTCTGGAGTCTCTCTTCTGTTCCAGGTGGAGGCATCTAATGAGATGTTTGAAATTGGGAATCAGAGAGATATTTTTTGCTGAGTATTAGCCGTGCATCTCTGCCCAGCCCCTGGAGAAAGCATCTTTCTTTACCTCTGTCAAGTTTGCGTGTCGTTTCTTAAATTCTTTTGTTTTTAATTTTTGTAAATGTTTACTTATTTTCGAGAGAGAAAGGCAGAGAGACAGAGCATGAGTTGGGGAAGGGCAGAGAGAGGGAGTCACAAAATCCAAAGCAGGCTCCAGGCTCCAAGATGTCAGCACAGAGCCCCACGCGGGGCTCGAACCCACGGACCATGAGATCATGACCTGAGCTGAAGTCAGAGGCTTACCCGACTGAGCCACCCAGGCACCCCAAGACTCTTAAATTCTTGATTGAAATGCATGTTTCTTACGGGCTAGCATTAGAGGCAAGACCCACAACAATAAGGCAAAGGGAAATATGAAAGCGTGAACCTAGACTTGGTCAAATACACCATGTCACAAAGTCTTTGGAGACCTAATTGTTTACAGCGCTAAACTTATCCGTGTATTATTTCTGTGGACAGATTTACAGGCTAAAGAGCTGGACATGCCTGAAGACAGCTTAAGGATCTGGGAACTTTCTCTGCAAAGATAATCAGGAATCTGGACGTTGGCAAAGTACCCAGCCTTTTCTTATTCCTCATGTCACAGGAAGTCGTGTGTCAGGGCACTGGATCACTGGCCCTGTTTCCCTGGCGTTGGTGTAGATGGCCTGAGAAAAGAAGGAAACTAGTCCAATTTATTGTAAATAAGACTTTGAAATAAATATGAGAGCAATATGGAGGATGTAAGAGTGGAAGAAACTAAATATGAAACTCAATTTTAGTGGGTCATTTAAAAGGATAGAGGAAGGGGCGCCTGGGTGGCTCAGTCGGTTAAGCGCCCGACTTCAGCTCAGGTCACGATCTCACGGTCCATGGGTTCCAGCCCCGCGTCGGGCTCTGGGCTAATGGCTCAGAGCCTGGAGCCTGTTTCCGATTCTGTGTCTCCCTCTCTCTCTGCCCCTCCCCCGTTCATGCTCTGTCTCTCTCTGTCTCAAAAATAAATAAATGTTAAAAAAAAAATTTTTTTTTAAATAAATAAAAGGATAGAGGAATATGTTGAAGAATGTGTATTCAGAAGCATGGGGCCCAGGGGTCCAGAATTTGCATTTGATTTGGGCGCACACCTTAGAAATGTTAACCTCTCTCCCCTCTTAATGAGAGCCACCATGTGGTTAGGAGCGGGACATAATGATTGCTTCACTATGCTTATTTAATGACAAGTAAATTTAGAAATATATTCTAGACAAATCCTTTTTTACTTCCACCAGCAGTGTGTTTTTTTTTTATTTTTTTTAATGTTTATTTATTTTTGAGAGAGAGAGTCAGAGTGTGAGCGGTAGAGGGGCAGAGAGAGAGGGAGACATAGAATCTGAAGCAACTCCAGGCTCCGAGCCATCAGCACAGATGCGGGGCTCGAACTCATGAACTGTGAGATCATTACCCGAGCTGAAGCCGGACGCTCCACCGACTGAGCGACAGGCGGCCCGGCAGTGTGTTTTGTTTTGTTTTGTTTTGTTTTGGTTTTGCTCTCACACTTTAAATTCTGACCCTCTTTCCATGAATTCAGTTACATCTTTTTGGTAGGAAAAAAAAAAAATCAGTCAACCCAGGAATTAATCTTATATCCTTCAACAAGAGTTTTTGAAAGAACCTGGAAGGGACCCCTGGGTGGCTCAGTCGGTTAAGCATCTTGGTTCGGCTCAGGTCATGATTTCCCCGTTTTGTGGGTTCGAGCCCCGCCCTGCATCAGGCATCAGACTCTGTGCTGACATTGTGGAGCCTGCTTGGGATTCTGTTTCCCTCTCTCTGCCCCAGCCCCACTTGCACTGTCTCTGCCTCTCTCAAAATAAATAAATAAATAAAATGTTAAAGTGCAAAAAAAAAAAAAAAAAAAAGTGCCCGGAAATTAAAGTTACAGGGTTTTGAACTGTTAGTGATCTTCTGAAGAGGGTCAGATCCACCACCTGCTAAGCCTGTTCCTTTAAAGACACTCAAAAATGTAGTAAGACTCCTCAAGCCATTATATATGTGTGGTGTATATAATAAATATATGCTAGGGGTATGGAGGTTGAGTTTCTATAATTGCAAAAGTCGTCAGCTCCCTTGAATCACGCTTATCTCCATGGCGACTTCGATCCATTTCTTAATGATGTTGTAATAATTGTATCTTAGCATCTAAATTAGAAAACAAAACTAATGCTGGTAGTAGTTTGTTTTGTTTTGTTTAGAATGATAGTTTCCAGGTGCAGTTTTATTATTTAAAATTTGCCAGGAATAGGATGTAATTACTTCCATTCTAGACACCATTTAATATATAAACATCAAGTTTGTATGACCACCTGGTATATTTGGTGGGGTCCAAAGGTTACACAACAGTTCTGTAACTCTTTAAAGACTTTAGCAACATGGGTTTTTTTTTTCCCCCTCCGTTTTAAATCATTATTTTGTAAGGAAAATTTAATTAGGTAAAAAATGGGTTTTTTTCTAAATGCAGGCCCCTCCATTGAGCCAATAAAGAATTTGTTTGAAAATAATTCCCAGCGTTTAGAACTACTAAGAGTATAAATTTTTCCCCTTTAATTAGTATCTTAGATTTTTTTTTTTTTAACCAATGCCAAATGCAATGTGAGCTCAAGTTTTTTAGTTCAGTTCTAAACTTAGAACCCGTGATTTTCAAGTGGGTTCTAAATTTGGCAAAATGTCTTCTCTCTGCCATAGTAGCTGGTGTTTTCCCATTCTTCAGGGTTCATACATCTTATTTTCTAAGCAAGCAGTACTGTTTTTCTTCGCTTTTTAATAATTTTTTTTTCCTCTCCCCTTTTAAGGAATACCAAATGTGATGCAACCTTTTTTAGACTCTAAGCTAGATATGGCAGCTTTCTGAACGGGAAGGAGAGTGGTAAGGAGGGGTGGGAGGAGTCATTTAGCCTCTTCCTTACAATGAAATGATAAATACTCTATGCCTTCGATGCTGAGTTATGTGAAGTTTAGGTGTAGGTGGGTCAGAATCACCAAGTCAGAATTCGGTTCAAATACTTCTCTTTCCTGCACATTTCTGCGTACGTACAAATGAGCCCCAGCCCCTTCCTGAGGAAAACGTGGGAAACAGCATCCTATTTGGTCACCACTTCGAGAAGGGTGTCCAACAAAGCCGTCTCCTGTGGTCTGCTCTGTGCTAAATACTCCATCCCCCTCCTGGGAGATGAAGACGCCAGGCAAAGCGCTCAATGCAAAACTCCCCGGGCGCGAAACTCAGACCCTGGCCACCGTGGGTCTAGGCTGTTAGCACATAGATGTTGTTGGCAGTTGAAAACAGCCACTTCCTCATTCTGCAAGGTGTCCGAGGGAGGGAGGGACACCAAGACCTCTCCCCAAACCAGGCTCGCACACACACTCCGCACTCACCTGCACTGATCTCTGTTCTTCCGACTCCAGGCTCACATCTCTCCCTACCACGATCCTCCTGGCCCTTCTTCCTGCCACTGCAACCATCTTTCCCATTAAAAGAAAAGGAGCCGGAGGAAAGGGGACCAGCACGAAGGAAACTGAGCTCTGTTTCCCTCCGGGGCCAAACTTCTGGAATTTGACCCCTCAGCTGCGCGCCTCTGCAGCCATGCGTGTCTGTCTGAGCAGCTCCCTTTCCTACCGGTGATGATGTCCTTGAGGCATTTGTGATGATGTCGTTGAGGCATTTGTGTGCGCCGCCCCAGCCCAGAACGCGAGGCTCAAGCTGCGTGCGTTCTCAGGGAGCGTTTCCCAGCACCTCTTGGAGATCTTGGCCACTGGCATCCTGTTCACGCAGGTCTCTCCAGCCCAAGCTCAGGCCTCTTCTAGCAGGTGGAGGCCTCCAACGACAAGCCAGCCAGCGGGCGGCCTTGACGGTCCCGTCCGACAGGTTCCTCTGCTTTATACCCTCTTGCCTCTGCAGTGCCAAGAGGGGAGGACTGGAATACTTAAGATATTTCCCAGTCGCCGTCTCCCTGGGTGCTAAGCGTTCTGACTCCCAGACTCCCAGCAGAATTTTCTGGGATGGACAGCCCTCCCATCCTCTGTGCCACTGCCACTGGCAGCTGTCTCCCCTCCCCACCCTGCAAGTGTTGGTAGAATTCCATTGACCTCAGCATTCCTAGAATGGCTGCAGTTGGCTTGAACATCCAACCTTGAAGGGAATGTAGCACAGTGAAGCGGCCGACGCTGTGCTCCCGTGGACAGGCCGGATCGCTGGAGCCCAGGGAGTAGGTGCTGGGAGTAAGAAACGCACATCGGTTGGGGGCTGCACATCATCCTGGCCAATCTCCTGCCTCTGACAGCGGCATAAAGGGCCGTGTTGTGAGAAAACAGTGTTGCTCTTTCCCACGTCGGCCTCAGGCTTTCCCGGTTACCAGACAACCTCCTGGCTTTCCTTCACCATGTTATTTATCCGGCCTTGTCTCCAGATTTTCTATTTGGGGTCTCAATCGTCTGTCGCAGGGTCTTTAGATTAAATAATCTAAAGGAAGGAGCATTAATTAGACTAGGAGTGAGAAGTCCCGCGTTCAATCTGTAGCCCTGCCATACGGTGATGGGTGACCTCCAGTAAGGCCTCGTTCCGAGTTTCCTGAGCCTGCTTCCTTCATCTGAAGCATGGATGGAGTTGGGGGGGGGGTTGAGGGGGCAGCTGGAAGTGATAATAACCGGGTTCTAGAATTCCACGAGTCTTGGGGCTCCTGGGTGGCTCAGTCGGTTAAGCGTCTGACACTTGATTTGGGCTCAGGTCATGATATGGTTTGTGAGTTCGCGCCCCCCCCCCCCCCCGCCTCCATCCGTGGGGCTCCACGCTGACAGTGCAAAGCCTGCCCTAGGATCCTCTCTCTCTCCCTCTCCCTCTGCCCCTCCCCTGCTCACGTGCTCTCTCTCAAAAATAAAGAAACAAACTTAAAAAAAAACAATTGCAGGAGTCTTCTTTAAACTGCTACTTAGCAGTAGAGTAACTGGACATCTAAAATGCTACCATAAGATAGTATGTCCCCCACAATTGTCCCTAAATTACTTCGGTCAAACTTGGAGGAGCAATGCTATTTCCAGTCTTACAGGTTCCCCCCCCCCCAGGGGGGGGGGGGGCGGGGGGGGTCACTTTGTCATCCTCCTCCTTTGATTCAGCGTTTACAGATTGCAGATGTACTGTCTTGTTTTTCTTCTTCGTAAGTCTGCTTTTCTTTAGAAAGTCTCAAGGGGCTCCGTTGTCTTTGCTGCCCACGTCTAGTGGACACCCCGGCTCTGAAGAAAGCAGCACCTACCCTGGGCAGGATGACGGTGTCTCCCCTTTTGTTTCTTCGTGACACTCCGGTCTGGTGGCTTTGTGATGGCAGCAACCTGCCGAGTTGGTGCCTTTTGGGGGCCTGGCCACGATGTCTCCCAGGATGCCTTTCCTGTACTATGAACAGGAGCTCACCGTCCCTCATCTTCTAAGGACATGTGAGCTCTTTTTGCCCAAATGCCTGGTAAAGCCAAGAGTACTTTGCCACGTGAATACCTGTCTCCCACTCTTTGCACATTCACAGAGCTTTGGGAGACCTTCTGGCCGTTTATCCCCCTGCTTCTTCGTCACCGTGCAGGAGGGTCATCTACAGAATTGAAGATGGCACTGAGGAGTGCGTGTCATTTTTTTTTTTTTTTTTAATGCTGAAGGAAAAAAGAAAAAAGGAAACAAATCAAAACCATAAACTCTCATACTCCTCCTGATCCCTGGGAGAGAATGGCAGCTGGTGGGGGACGGTGAGGGAGGAACGAGGTGAAGATCCTTCTTGAAGGATGGGAAAACAGGATTTCATTTTAGCATGGGTTTTAGTAGCAGGTTCTACAGTGGTTGGTGGCAAAGTCATGATTAGACTCCCACCTCTTCACGACTTCCTCCACTCTGTCGTATGTGAGCCTTTGCCCGTGAATTGAGTGGCTCCTACAGGCCGGGCTCCAGGCTAAATGATGGGGGAAAAGGTGAGTACCGCACGGCCTGCCTTAGAAGGACCTACAGACGAGAAGTATGGGCAGTTGCAGGCCTGGGTGAGCGTGCCGTGATAGGAAGGGACACAGAGTGGAGTAGCGGCCTGGCAGGGAGTGCCACGCCCAGGATGGGCTCAGATCGGGGTAGTCAAGGAAGGCTTCTGGAAGCGGCGACCTCTAAGCTGAAAGGCCAGTGGGAGTTGGATGGGTGGAGGATTATTCTAACAAGAGGACTTGTAAGTGGCCGAGGGAGCATGTCCGTGCCAGGGGATCTCTCAGTGGCTCAAGATGGTGGGAGCTTGGAGTGTGGGGCTGGAGAGAGAGGCAGACGCTGACTGGGAAAGGCCTAGGATGCTCTGCTAAGGAGTTTGAACGTTCTCTTGAAGACCATGGGACGTCCCAGAGGGATGTTTTAAGGAGAGATCTATCGGGATCGTATTATCATATTTACTTTAGAAGAAAAGCCATCTGAAGTTTTCTGAGGCCAAGGCCCAGAGACATTAGATAGTTAGAAATTGTTCGAGTAGACTAGGCAAGAGACCGTGGCTTCGGCTAGGAGGGTGGCCTTTGAAATGGAGGGAAGTGGGTAGATCAGAGGCATAAACGAAAGAGGCAGAATCCACAGGACTTGATGGTTTGATGATTGTTGGGAGTTAGGGAAAGGGAGGAGTCCGTGATGAAACGATCGGGTTGGGGCACCAAGCTACTGAGCTGGAAAGCACCACGAGAGGGTATTAATGGTAAATGCAGAGACGAGGAAAGTTCTGACTCTCACGGCTCCCCTGAGGCAGTACCAAGTTCTTAAGTCCTGGTGGACCCAGAATGATGAGGAACTATTCTAAGAATGAAGTGGGTTTTCTGTGCCTACCTGGCCCATTTACCTTTGGGCAAAGCGTGCTGGGGCACTACCCTCTTGGCTAGATTCTCTGATCTGTCCTCTGTGCCATGATTTCTCCTCCATCACTGGCAAAGAACATAGGGTTCCTCACTCCGCACAGAGACTCTAGAAGGAGGTGGTGCTGCACAACTTCTACTAACAGCTGTCATCGTACTACCTTTGGAACGTATCTCTTTGTGACGGTTGGATTTTAGAGCCAAAGCAGAGAATAGGAGATACCCATGGTGTCGTGGCTTTGGAGTCAGAGAGACCACCTGAGCAAGCCCTAAGCAACCTTAATTCCCTCCTCTGCAAAACAAGGAAAGTAGCACCAACTCCAAGGACTTGCTGTAAGCCTTATAATGCGGTAAAACGTGTATGGTGCCCAGCAGATGGTAAATGCCCAATAAATATTACTTTCTGCCCCCACAACCCCCATCCGTGGGCACTTACATCCCAAACGACGCGGCCTTCTCACCCTGAGAAAGGAAGCTCCGTGATGCTCTTACCTTTACCATCTTGCTAATAACTGGTTGGTTGTTGCTGTTACTGTTGCATTCCATTTCTTAGGCAGTGGAGAGAAAGAGAGGGAGGGGAAGGGATCCAAATTCAGTTTAGGAACTTTTCTGAGTGAAAGTTCCGCCTGAAAGAGTTCCATCACGTGTCTGACGTCAGTTCTTTCTCCACTGCGTGTGAACCTGTGGCTTGTGACAGTCGTGCGTCTTAGTCTCTTGAGACTAAGAATACTTGGGTTGGGCTGGAATATCAGGCTAATGGGATGGACAGTTCCCATTTCCTTCAGAGACTGACTTTGACCCCCCACTCTTTGTCCTGGAAACTTACAGTGTGAAGCTGTAATGCGATTGGCATCTCACTTCAGAAAAATGCAGGTCTTCTGCCTTGAGTCTGCTCCAAATCGTTCAGCTTTTGGAGACATGCATGTGAATTCTTTCTTATTACCTTTCCTGGAGGTAGATAGCATCTAACCCTTGCATTTAGGGCTCACAGGACTCCCTCCCTCAGGCCACCTTTCTTAGATTTGGATAGATTTAGGGAACATTTTTGAGTGGGACGCTCTTTGGCACTAGCTTCTACTTCTGCAGCCTTCCCTTTGCCCTTCTTGGCATTCTTTGCTTCTGTTGTTCTAGAAGTTCCTCTTCTAATCTCATTTGTACTGTTTTGCTCCATTAATAGTAATAATTAAAAAAAAAAAAAAACCCTTTGGGAAAGATACGAAGTTCAGTGTCAGCCATTGAAGAAATTTAATAGCTCCAGAAAATGTTTTTTGAGTCTTCTGTCATTAGTAAATATATAGCCTATGATGACAGCTTGTCATCACTTAGGTATATACCACTTAGGTCAGGATACGGTTTCTACCTGCAGAAAGTTTTCATTTCTTCAGGTAAGGTAAGAAAACACAACAGGAAAAAGATTGAAGAGACTACTATTATACCTCTTTTAAAAGAGACTGTAGCCTCTCAAAAATCTATTCTTCTGCCGAGGATGAGATTATTAATCTCCTTAGTTACTATTTTTCCCTGAAGTGTTGGAATAAGTGCCTTTTGATGCCTAGGCTTGAGAAAAGCTTGTTCCCCAAAGCCACTTGGCAAGTATAAATCCCAGGAACTAGGTGCTTTAAGCACTGTGTTTGTGAAGCAGCAACCATTGTTGGGAGAGAAGCAGGGTGGGGGAGGAGAGAAGGCAGGAAGGGGGGGTGGAGGGAGAGGGAAGTGACGGTACTTAGGAACGCACCAATGGTGGGAGTGACCAAAATATACTGGAGACTGGGTCCTTCCTGGGACCTTGCAAGTGGGACTCGATCAGCTTCCCTCTTTCTCCCACCACCAGCTTCACCCAGGGAAGCCACTGCTGCTGTTAAATCTGGAGTACCTTCATGCAAACATGAACGGTTGGGTTGTTTCCCTCCAAATCTAAGGCCTAGAGAGAACCCCTTGAATTCAGCGAACACACGCTTTGGTGTCAAAGTAAATGTCCTACACAAGAACAATGATAACACTTTTGAGGAGTTCATG